TCTCCTCTGTCACTCAGGCTGGAGTACAATGGCACCATCTTAGCTCACTGCAAACTCTGCCTCCCAGGTTCAAGCGATTCACCTGTCTCAGCCTCCTGAGTACCTGGAATTACAGGCATGTACCACCATACCTGGCTAATTTTTGTATTTTTAGTAGAGGCAAGGTTTCGTCATTTTGGCCAGGCTGGTCTTGAACTCCTGACCTCAAGTGATCTGCCTGCCTCAGCCTCCAAAAGTGCTGGGATTACAGGTGTAGGCCACCAAGCCCAGCCAGTCGTTCCTTTAATCCCCTTAAGGTACCCAGGATGGTGCTCTTTTATTCAGTGGATATGTAATAATTCTGGTTATTTCATCCTCTCCAGAAAAAAAAACAAATTAGTGTGTGGTTTGGTGGACTTTCTGGAAACTTCCAGAACCAATTCTTCCTGAGTAAGGGCTTATTAAACATGAGCACGCTGGGTGCAGTGGCTCATGCCTGTAATCGCTACACTTTGGGAGGCCGAGGTGGGCGGATCACCTGAGGTCAGGAGTTCAAGACCAGCCTGACCAACATGGTGAAATCTTGTCTCTACAAAAATACAAAAATTAGCCGGGTGTGGTGGCACGCACCTGCAATCCCAGCTACTCAGGAGGCTGAGGCAGAAGAACCACTTGAACCTGGGAGGCAGAGGTTGTAGTGAGCGGAGATCGCACTCCTGCACTCCAGCCTGGGCGACAGAGCGAGACTCTGTCTCAAAATAAATAAATAAATAAATAAATAAATAAACACGAGCAAAATGAACTGAAACTTCTCAAGGAACTCTAGGAAAATCTGGTCTAACACATGAGCTTTATGAATAAGGTTTTTTCAATCACCTTTCAGTCTACGAAAAATTTTATCAGCCTTAAAATGCTCTCAGTTGTTTGTTTGTTTTGAGACAGGGTCTCACTTTGTCACTCAGGCTGTGTGCTGTGGCATGATGTCAGCCAGCTCACTGCAGCCTTGACCTCCTGGGCTCGACTGATCTTCTTACCTCAGCCCCCCCACTGATCCTCCCACCTCAGGCCCCTAAGTAGCTGGGACTACAGCACCACCATGCCCGGCTAATTTTTTTCTATTTACAGTAGAGACAGGGTTTTGCCATGTTGCCCAGGCTGGTCTCGAACTCCTGACCTCAAATGATCTACCTGCCTTGGCCTCCCAAAGTGCTGGGATTACAGGCGTGAGCCACCGGGCTGGCCTAAAATGCTCCCAGTTCTCTCAAAACTCTGCCGGATGACGTGAGCTGTAAGGCAGACTAAACTAGCACAGGGACGCATTTTCAATTTTTCATAAAATATTTGCTTTCCTAGAATCCAATATCTTTTTAGGCCTTTTTTTAATCCTTCTGGTGCTAGAACTAATTTGCAAAATTTCTCCCTCATCTTACCCTAACTTGGCTGGCTGCCCTTTGCTGAAGAACTGAGTTTGGGATTTACAACATGAAAACGACAGAGACCCAGGCAGGTCTGAGGAGACAGCTTGCTTGTCTTCCTGCGGGGCCCCGCAGCGGCCACCTGCCCAGGTGCGTGAAGACATGCTGCCCTCTAGTGGCTGCATCCTGCCTGCAGGAGTACCTCCACTTCGCAAGTGAAAAAAAAAAATCCTCGTTTTCACGTTCACCAGCTAAACATGCTCTGAAAGCACTGTCTTCCCCTCTGAAGACCCATGGGATTTTAGAGCTAAAAGGGACCTTAATCCATCCCCTACTTCTGGTTTCTCGTTTTGTTTTGTTTAGAAAGAGCCCTATGATCAGAGAGACTGGGTCTTTCAGCTAAGGACCTGCAACAGTCCTTAGAGAAGTAGACAGGAATAGAACTTCCCCACTTCCCCACACCCTTATTAAAAGACAGGGAAGGGAGAGGAAGTCACCCCTAGAAACTTAGAAATACACAAGATGCAAAAGAGCTGTGTACTCTAATGAGTTAAGTGAGCCCAGGGGAGCCCAGAGAATCTAGCTGAAGGCTGAGCTTCCCCCATCAGCCACTCCCCTGGCCCAGCCCCTCCTGAACCTGCTTCTGCTTCCACAGGAAGCTACTTTCTAAGTGCACACAGGCCTCCGATAGGGACCATCTCTCTGCCGTTTTTTGAACACTTCCCTTAGGTCAAGGACACTGCACTCCAGGGTAGATTTAGATTTTTGTCCAAATTTCAACCTAAACTAATTCACTCTCCCACTGCCATCATTGGGCCTCAGTTTCCTCATCTGTCAAATGAGGGAGTTGGGTCAGATGCTTTCTAAGGTTTCTTTTAGCAGCGATAGTTTATGATTGTTTGCCTCTTGGCATACAAGTGTTGATGAAGAGAGTCAAATTATAAAATATTTGAAAAGATTTATTCTGAGTCAAATATGAGGGACCAATGGCCCGTGAGACATGTGCCCAAGATGGCAGGGCCAGAACTTGGTTTTTCACATTTTAGGGAGACATAAGGCATCAGTCAGTACACGTAAGGATGTACATTGGTTTATTCTGGAAAGGTGGGACAAGTGGAAGGGGGTTAGAGGACCTTCCAGGTCATAGGTAGATTCAAAGATTTTCTAATTGGGAATTGGTTGAAAGAATTAAGTTGTTGTCTAAAGACTTGGAATCAGCCAGGTGCAGTGGCTCACACCTGTAATTCCTGCACTTTGGGAAGCTGAGGCAGGTAGATCACCTGAGGTAAGGAATTCGAGACCAGTCTGGCTAACATGGTGAAACCCCATCTCTACTAAAAATGCAAAAATTAGCCAGGCATGGTGGCAGGTGCCTGTAATCCCAGCTACTTGGG